AAAATCACGACTAATTAGAGGCATGCAAATCCAAACAACAAAGAGGCATCACCCCTCATGAGTCAGAATGGCCATCAGCAAAAAGTCTACACACAAGAAATGTTGAAGGGGTGGTGGAAAAATGCACATCCTCCTATGCTGTTGGAGAGATGTAAACTGGTAACAGCCACTAAGGAGAACAGAACGGAGGTGCTTTTAAAAAGTAAAAATTCCATATGATCCTGCAGACCCACTACTGGGCCTATAACCTGAGAAGACCAGAATGGAAGAGACACAGGCACCCAAACGTCCACTACAGCAAGATTTACAATAGCCAAGACATGAAAGCAACCAAAATGGCCATCAACAGATGAATGGACAAAGAAGAAGTGGTACATGTAGCCAATGGAATATTAGCCACGGAAAAGAATGAAACAATGCTGTTTTCAGCACCATAGATGAGCCTAGAGATAATCATATGTGAAGTAAGAACAAGAAAGACAAATATCCTACGATATCATGTATAGATGTTATCTAAAAATTGATACCAATGAATATATTTCCACAGAGAAAGATACTCACAGACTTAGAAAACAAACTTATGGTTAACCAAAAGGAAAGGGGGGGAGGAATGGATAAATTAGGATACGGGGGTTAACATACATATACTAAAACAAATAAAATATATAATCACCAAAAACCACCATATACCAAGTGAGGTCTACTCAACACTCTGTACTAACCTATATGGGAGCAGGATTGAAGATGAATAGATAAACGTATGTGCATAAATGAACCAGATTCTGTACACCTACAACAAACACAACATTGTAATGGAGTTTACTCTGATAGAAAATAAAATTTAAATTAAAAAAACAAGAAGTAATGAGACATAAGCTTTTGGGGGTTTGTCCTGGCACATTCCACTCTGATTTACAACCTAGAAACACGTCTTCCAAGAAGGCTCTGTTGCCCTAGTAACCAGAGTTGGGGATGTAGATATTGCGCCGCCTTGTGGCCATTTCCTGCAACAGGAGCTTTAAACCTAGTGCTAATGGTCACTTAACATTCACAAGGGACTGCAGGGCTGTAAATGACACCTGCCCTCCAAAAATGTCCTACAGTCTGAAATTGACAAAAAAAATTCAACACGGGGCAAATTTTCACAAGGTAAAGTTTACTCACTTTTTTTTTATTAAAAAAAAAAAAGACATGGAAAAATGGTCAACATAATGAATAATTGGAGACATGCATATCCAAACAATAAAGAGGTATCACCTCACACCAGTTAGAACAGCCATCAGCAAAGAGTCGACAAACCATAAATGCTGAAGGGGTTGTGGAGAAATGCATACCCTTTATGCTGTTGGTGAGATGTATACTGGTGACAGCCACTAACGAGAACTGAATGGAGGCGCCATTAAAAGGTAAAACTTGGGCTACCATATGATCTGGCTGACCTGCTACTGGGCCTATCAACCGAGAAGACCAGAATCTAAAAGACACAATCACCCAAACGTCCACTGCAGCAAGATTTACAGTAGCCAAGAAATGGAAGCAACCAAAATGTCAATCGACACGTGAATGGACAGAAGTGGTACATGTACACAACGGAATATTAGCCACAAAAAAAGAATGAAACAGTGCCCTTTGAAGAACCATAGATGAGCCTAGAGATAATCATACTACGTGAAGTCAGAAAGAGAAAGACAAATATCCTATGATGTCATTTATAGGTGTTATCTAAAAACGGATACCAATGAACATATTTCTACAGAGAAAGACACAGACTTAGAAAACAAACTTATGGTTAACCAAATGGAAAGGTGGGAGGAATGGGTCAATTAGCATGTTGGGGTTAACATACATATACTAATACAGATAAAATAAATATATTCAAAAGGACCTACCTCATTGCAAGGGAGGTCTACTCAACCGTCTGTAATAACCTACATGGGAACAGGATCGGTACATGAATATGTATATGCATAAATGAACCAGGTTCTGTACACTGAGAACAAACACAACATTGTAATCAAATTTACTCTGATAGAAAATAAAAATTAAATTAAAAAAACAAAGAAGTAATGAGACACAAGCTTTTGGGGGTTTGTCCTGGCACATTCCACTCTAATTTACAACAAAGGAACAGGACTTCCAGAAAGGCTCTGTTGCCCTAGTAACCAGAGTGGGGAATTGAGAAATCCTGCCACCTTGTGGCCGTTTCCCGCAACAGCAGCTTTAAACCTAGTGCTAATGGTCACATAATATTCACAAGGTCTGCAGGGCTGTAAATGACACCTGCCCTCAAAAAATGTCCTACTGTCAGGAATCGACAAGAAAATTCAACACAGGGAAAACTTTCAAGAAGACAATTTCAAGAGGTAAATTCTACTCACAGCGTTTTTTTTTTTCTCTTAAAGCACATGAAAAACTGCTCAACATCACTAATTATTAGAGTCAGGCAAATCCAAAATACAAAGAGGTATCATCTCACACCATCAGCAAAATATCTACAAACAAGAAATGCTGAAGGGGTGGTGGAGAAATTGGTACCCTCTTAATGCTGCTGGTGGGATGTAAACTGGTAGCAGCCACTAATGAGAACAGAATGGAGGCAGCTTTAAAAGGTAAAAATTGAGCTACCATATAATCCGGCAGTCCAATTGCTGGGTGTGTATCTAAAGACCAGAATTCGAAAAGATGCGCCCAAACGTGCACTGCAGCAAGATTTACAATAGCCAAGACATGGAAGCAACCAAAATGTCCACTGACCAATGAATGGATAAAGAAAAAGTGGCACATGTCCACAATGGAATATTGTTCAGGCATGAAAAGAATGAAATAATGCCAATTGCATCAACATAGATGAACCTAGTTGTAATCATACTAAGTGAAGTAAGTCAGAAAGAAAAAGACAAATATTGTATGATACCACTTACAGGTGGAATCTAAAAATTAATACCAGTGAACCAATTGACAAAAGAGAAACAGAATCACAAAAGTAGAAAATAAAATTATGGTTACCAAAGGGGAAAGCTGTGGGGAAGGGATAAATTAGGAAGTGGTGATTTACAAATAGAAACTATGACATATAAAATAGATAATCAACAAGGACCTATGTATAACAAGGGAGTTCTACTCAACATTCTGTAATAACCTATATGGGAAAAGAATCCGGAGATGAATAGATATATCTATATGTATAAATGAAAAAGATTCTGTACACCTTCGAAACATACAACACACAGCATTGTATATCATATATACCAAGACTTCAAGCAGATGTACCCTCCCTGTGGAAGGCAGAATAATGTCCCCCCAAAGATCCTAATCTCTGAAACCTATGGTGTTACATGGTAAAGTGGAATTAAATTGCTAATCATTTGACCTTAAGATAAGATTATCTTGGATAACCTGGATAACAGGCAGGCCCAATGTAATCATAGGGTCCTTAACAGTGGAAGAGGGGGGACGGAAGAGTCAGTATCAGTGATGTGTTATGAGAAAGACTCAACCAGCCACTGCTGGCTTTGAAGATAGAAGGAAGTCATAAGCCAAGGAGTGTGGGTAACCTCTAGAGGTTGGACAAGGCAAGGAAACAGATTCTCCCCTAAAGCCTCCAAAAGGAATGCAGCCCTGCCAACACCTTGGGTTTTAGCCCAGTGAGATCCATTTTGGACCTCGGCCCCAGAACTGTAAGAAACTTGTATCGGCTTAAGCCACTAAGTTTGTGGTAATTTATTACAGCAGCTATAGGAAGATACTACTTTCTTTTGCCAGCAGGAAGAAATTAACAGTGAAACCCTAGATAACGGTAGAGCCAAAAGATGGAAGGATCCAGGGCCTCTGAATCACCAAGTAAAGTGAAGTAATCTGCTGGTTGAAAACACACACCTTGGACTCTTATGTGAGAAAAACCTCTGCTGTATTTGAATGATGACATTTGTTACAACTGTTTTGTCTCATCCCAAGGAGTACAACTCTCTGTGCCTCAGAGAATTTAAACTTATTTTTAAATAAGTTTTCTTATTTTAAAAAAAAGTGAGGGGCTTCCCTGGTGGTGCAGCGGTTGAGAATCCGCCTGCCGATGCAGGGGACAGGGGTTCGAACCCTGGTCTGGGAAGATCCCACATTCCGCGGAGCAACTGGGCCCATGAGCCACAGCTACTGAGCCTGCGCGTCTGGAGCCTGTGCTCCGCAACAAGAGAGGCCGCGATAGTGAGAGGCCCGCGCACTGCAATGAAGAGTGGCCCCCGCTTGCCGCAACTGGAGAAAGCCCTCGCACAGAAACGAAGACCCAACACAGCCAAAAATAAATAAATAAATAAATAATAATTAAAAAAAGAAAAAAAAAGTGAGGATAAAAATAATAGCTGCCTCAAATAGCTATGGTGAAACTTAAATAAGTTACTATATTTAAAGTGTTTAGAATGATTCCTGACACACAGTAAGTGTAGTATAAGTGGTATCATTAAGAGTGTGTGCATAAATGCACACACACACAAAATTTATAATATCTGTTTTGAATATCAGTGCAAACATTCTAAACAAAAGATTGGGTAAGGAGATGAGCATTTTCCCAATAGTCCAACAACATTGAAACACAGTAGATTGCAAAAAGTAGCTCAGATGTTAAAATTCTGTTTGTTTATTGTTTATTTTTTATCAGATTTTGGGATAGTGTTGAATTGAAATTGCCTAATCCTGATTATGGATGATTTTTTCTAGTATCAGAGCCCAATGCTTATGTACTAATATTAATAGTAGCAAGACTAGAAATATAGTATATAAATAAACATATTTCTTTTACACATGGTACTAATTTAACTACAAATAGAAATATTATCTCCCTTAATATTTATTTAGTATCATTATATACAGGTGCTTTGAGATTTACATGTACCAGCATATAGAGGAGCTATTGATTCCTCCATATACCAAAAACATGTTTTTAATAATTTGATGTTATAACAAAGTAAAACTCGTGTTTGTGAAAGACTTAGCCCAGTCTAGAATTTCTACCTTTGGTGTGTTACAGGATAAAATGCTCTCTGGGGAGAGAGACTGTATCCTTGCTGTATACTCCTCACTTATATTCGTTTTGTTGATATGCTCTCTTGAGTTTTAGGCCTGGGAAGAGACTTTGGCTTGCTGAAATATTCCGCAATGGGTATTTTCATCTTAGTTCTTCTTATAAACAGTGGAAGCTTGTGCTCAGCCTCTGAAATAGAAAAAGTCTCAATAAGACCATAATTGAGACATCGAATATAGTAGCTTCTGCCATGTTTTAGTAGCAAATTACACACACACAAAAACTATATGAAGTTTAGGTGAATCAAATATACCCAAAATTCATAAAATAATTTATTCTCATCTTTCTTAGCACCTGCTCATCTTTAGTGAGTTATTTGTTCTATAACATGCAAGATATGTTCTTTCAATCTTAAAATCAAACATTATTTTGGTAGGAACAATTTAGAGCTGGTGATGAGCAAAGGTGATGGACAAGGATGGGACCAGTGAGAGAAAGGTGAAGGATATATGGTCCCGACAGACAAAAAAGAAAGTAGACAAGCAGGTTAAAACAACTGTACTCAAAAGACCTTCCCAAGGCCTACACCAGTTACACCTAAACAGAAATAAGGATTTGGGGATACGCTGAATACCAACACTAGAGACAAAGAGGTATGATTTGAGGATTTGTATACAAGTATCTAGACAGGATAAAATATATTTGAGGCCTACAGATAAGACATAAAATTGTGTAATAGAAACCATCACTGTCATGATTTTGTGGTCATAGGATGAAGAGTTTTTTAAAAGTCAGATACAATAGACCATCCTTGGAGTGTCAGAGTAAGGAGGTATTTTCTAATTTCTAAACTATACTTATTATTGCCTATTAGCAAATAGCATTTCTTTGGGGTTTGATTAATCCCAACAGAAACTGCTGGAGTCTAGAGTGACCTCCAGGAACTCTAATTGATTGCTATGTCATTCCTGGTATAAGGGGGACTTGCAGAAATAGTAAGACAGACTTTTGTTTGAGGCTTGTAGACAGGCTTCATAGTTGTTGCCCTATAGCCATTGCTGCTATGTTTGTTTTAAAGCTAGGAGCTGCCAAACCTGCAGGGATATTTCGATTGGACTATTCTGGTCCAAACTAGGACTTTCCACAATTCTTGATTTTGCTTGGTCCAAATTGAAGGCTGGGGCTGGACTTCTGATGGGGACATAAAACTGCTACTCTCTGTTGTATTTCAGCTGTGTTGTGGGCATATGCTTGTGGCTAATTGTCAAAATTTTATTGTTTTCTCTGGCTGGCTTTGTTTCAAGTGAAAATCATTTAGCCCAATGACAGTTAAGCTGTGAAGAACCAAAACTCTGATTATCACTGTCCTTTTTGTTAGGTCAATGCAGGTCATCTCCTGTCACTGGATTGGCATGACCAGACTTAGAGTTCCTGCTGTCCTTCTGTCTTGCTTCTCAAAGAGTGTGATGAGGCACTTTGCCTTTCAAAACAAAGTCAAATATAGGTCAAATTTATCTCATTGAGAAATTCAGCAGATGCTGTCCCTTAAGAGTAGCTGTAAATTGCTATTGTATTATACTGCCTTTAAAACCACAGATCCTTAACATCTTTGTCTCTAACTAGTTAGATACTTCCTGGTTTCCTTATACCAACTCAGTCATCGCAAACTGTACTTAACCTTTCAGGACTTCCTTATTTCCTTCAGATCCTTGACTTGACACTCTATATCAATAGGAGAAAGAGAAAATGAAATTCACAGATACAAACAAGCATTTCCCATAGACTGCACTATCATCAACAAGCTAAGTATGTATGTTTCTTAAATAAGCTATCCCAATTCTTCATTTTTCAATGCAGACAGCATTAAATGTACTTTCCAATGAAAAATTCTTCTAACTTTGAGTAAACATCTGAACAGTACATCAGATATTACCCAGTAAGGTAGAGAAACTGACTCTATCTCCCAGTTTCCAATTTTATGGAAACTTCAAGGTGGCGACCGATTAAAATGTAAAATTCTTCCTCTGTCTTAATAATGATTTTTGAAGTGACATGTTATGTGTTTTAATATTTATTTTCTCTGAATTTAAGATTTGCCCAACTTTTAATTTTAAAGCAACAAGATATTCTCTCGCAGCTTAAATAACATCTTACCACATTCTTTCACCATGCTGTTACACATAAATATGTATTTTCTTCTGTCATTGAAATTACAAAGCTTAAGACAAATTTCTACTGAAATAATTCCAAATTCCCTGAATAGTTGTTTTTCCCTCTGGCAGCCCCCAGGCATACGTCAGAGAAAATTAAGTGGAGCAATTTATTTTAATCTTGCATTGTTCTAGACAAAAAAAAAAGTGATTTAACAAAATACACAATAACAATGCAATTTTGGTTTTCTTTATTGCTTCTATTTTTAGGTAAACTAAAAACCACTGCATTTTCTTAGATTTCTGGGTGGCTACTCTTGCTTTACCCTGAATGGAAAGGGAACTTTTCCTCAAAAAGATGGGTTGTTAGGTAAGGAAGACATGGTCTCTGCCAAATGCTCTGAACAACAGGATTTAGAATGATTTCTCATATTACGTTTATGAAAATGAAAGAAAACAAACACTTATTGTTGTCATTTACTGAGTAAGGAGGATACTTAAAACCTCAGCGATTTTAGTGTTTTGAAAGATAACCAAAAGGGAATTCAAAGTCTTTATGAACCACATGCCCCATAGGTGGCCATTAGGCCTAATTACCTGCTCTGTTGACGTCCTTCCCTAGAACTGGTTAGCACTTCTGATTTTGCTGGTGAATCTGAGGGTTGATTTAACTTTGGGTGGCCTGCTGGTCTCTGCTGCTAGTTCCGCTGAGGCGTTTCTTCTGAGGGGAGTTAACAAGTTTATCTCAGCCAGTTCAGCATGAATCAAAGCTGAGAGCCACTCCTTTTCTGATTTAAAAAAAGAGGGGCATGAAGGTTGTAATTATCATGTTGGCTAGAAACACAGGATTAGTTCCTTTACTCAGCACTCCAGTGTGAAAGGTAAGCTGTTTTCTGGGTAGGCACCTACGTGTGAGTTAAAGTTTCTGTAGCAAAGGTGATTCACATCAACCTAATTTCTGTTGACCTGTGATATTGTATAGCTCTCAGAGTACTCACTGGGGTACTTGTCCCTGAGTGGCAGTGGAATACATTTTAAATATTGAGTATAAAACCCAGACTTACAGGCCACTGCCAAATAAAAACAAATAAGGATACCTATAAAAAGTATTAGTACCATGTGATCTCATTAAAATAAAGACTAATAGTTAAATAATAAATAGTTTTAAGCATCTCTACAATGATATATACCAAAGTAGTGCTAAAGTGATGTCCGTGATAATTTTATTTTTTCCTCTTTTTTTTTTCTGGTTGATTTGTTTTTCACCCCAAAATAAGCAGTCATTACTTGTGTAAATTTTTAAAATTTATATTCTTAAAAAGGAAAAAAAAAGAATAACTAAAAACTCCTTACCCCCAAATACTTCTCAATTGCCTGCCAAGTAATCTTCCTGAGGTAAGGTACTATCTCCAAACTGCTCCCCATTTAAAAACATTAGTCTATTCCTGACACATTGGTATTTCCTAACATTGATTACTGCAGTGATTTTCAAAGAGTGGTCCCCAGACCAGGCTTATCAGTGTCACCTGGGAACTTGTTAGAAATGTCAATTCTCAGACTCCACTCACTTCAGTTTTGCCTCAGTCAGTCTGATGACCAGCTAGGTCTGAGGAGAGCTGCTCTATGCTATTTATGGTTATCTCACTTGGCACTGGCATGTGCTTTCACGGAACAGGTCAGAAGAGCCTAAAGGAGGCTGGGAGTTGACTGTCTTGATGGTTTTGGTGAGGAATTGGCAGAGCTGTTAGAATCTGGAATTTGGAAGGCTGTGCTACTGCCATCCACAGAAAAGGAGGGAAACAGGCTGTGTTCAGGGCTCACAGGAGGCCAGAAGATACGCTCAGGGAGAGCCTGGGTGTGCGGACTCAGGAGGAGAAGCACAAACCAGCTCCGGACACAAGTGTTTCACATCGCCCGAGGAAGTTCAGTTTGGAAGTTCAGGAAGTTCACAGCATACCAAACTGTGGGTCGCTGTATGACCAGCTTGTGTGCAGCTGGAGACACAGGACTCTGATACTGAAACATTAGGGAAATAATATTGCCACCTTGTCTTTGCAAATCCAAGGTAGAAAACTTCAGACATTGGCACATTCCTAGTTTCTGACAATAAACTGAGCTCAGTGTTCACAAATGCTTAATCTCACCTTTTGAACTTGCACGGAGCAGCCACTGCAGAACTTCTGCCAGAGAATCAGTACGTAGAATGTTACAGATCTTTTCGAGAACCTGACAGAGAATGTTAGAGTTACATAGTGAGCAAGGTTTATAAGGTTTCCTTTACTTACTCCACAATCTCATCTTCCCAAATGTCACTCTGTACACAATGCTCAAGTCGATGGGGATTTTAGCTTGGGACCCAGATTTCAAACAGGAAAAAAACATCTTCAGTACAAGTACACTTGACCCTGCAAGGCAAGGTTAGGGGCGCCGACCCTCCAAGCAGTTGAAAATCCAGCTATAACTTAGAGTCAGCCCTCCATACAGGTGGTTCCTCCATATTCGCAGTTCCACATCCACAGATTCAACCAACCACAGATCATGTAGTACTATCATATTCACTATTGAAAATAATCCATGTATAAGTGGACCCACACCGTTCAAACTTGTGTTGTTCAAGGGTCAACTGTGATAGTTTAGGTCAGGCGATGCAGTTTTGTTTTGTTTGTTCAGTACTAACATCTTCTGGAGGAGCAATTTACTTTTCTTCTCCTTCGGAATTGATACTTTCCCACTGCAGCATGGGGCTCTTCGAGTCACAGAACTGCCCCATCTGTACTTCTCTCTATAGTGAGTGAATCTAGCTGAATTCATCACTGTTCTTCAGTCCCCTGAACACAGTGATTGGCCCAATAGGATAGGAATACAATTACCTCTAGTCTATCAGAATCCTTCATTGACTTTTTAATCTGGAGTTAAGGGCTGAGTGTGGATGATAGAGGAGATATATGAAATAATTCTAATAAAAATGGACTATAATAGTCATTAAAGTCCAAAGTATTAAGCACATGTAATGATGTTTCTAGTTTTACCCTAAAGTGTGTCTGTTCTTGGAATTTAGACATATCTGAAATCCAAACCTGTCTCCTGAACTTCAGTCCTATATATCCATCTGCCTACCAGACGTATCCACTTAGACATACTGTAGGTACTTTGAACCCCAAATATCTAAAGCTAAACCCAGCTTTCTCTTCATAAAACCTGCTCCAAACTTGCTGTTTCTCCTGGTTCCCCTATCTCAGTGGACACACCAGCATACATTGAACATATGTCCAAGCAAGACCCTGGGATTCACACTGGACAGCTCCCTTGTCCTTTTCTACAACATACTACCAACAAGTTCAGTAAATTCTTTCTTCTAAATATTTCTCAAATATCTCTATTTCTCTTTAACCCCACAGCCTTGACCCAGTCTGAACGATCATCAATTCTGCAACTGCAACATCCTTTTTCCTAGGCTTTCTGGCTGAAATCTTTTCTTAAAATACTATTAATTTAACAAATATTTTTGTCTATCATTGATCTAGGTGCTGGAGATATAGAATTTAAAGTATAGGGCAGAAAAATCCACTGTCCTTTATTGAGCTTTGTTCTATTATCAAGATTCCTGTCCTCAATAACGCCTTATCCTAGAAGAGAACAGGTTAAATTTGCTCCTAATTTCACAATAAATCAATGGCCATGGCAAAATTAGAAAAATAGCCCTCTGGTATTATATTATTCTCTAGGCCACTCTGCCTCTCATGATTTTGTCATCAATATGGTGATTGCACATCACTCCCAGCTTCTTCTAATTCACAGGTCACTCATTTACAACTTTGAAAGAATATAATTATCATTTTAGTGAGAGAAGATAGAATATGTCCTCCTAGGAAACTTTCTCTTCATTGAGTTTTATTCTGGAAGCCAGTTTATATATTGCTGGGTGAGTTTGATCTGTTGAAATTTGCTTTTAGGATTTGAGTGTAGGTCTAGAGTAGCCCCTACTGTGGGTTAGTATACCCTATTCTTTTTCTAAAGTGTGACCTTTCTGGGGTCTCAACTGCATTCCTGGTGTGTTCAGCAAGGTCTCTCTACTCTAGCAGATCAGAACTCCATCATCTTTAAGCAAAATGCTCCCTCCCATTAGCTCTCTTCTGCCAGGTCTCAGACTCTCATCCTGTGCACATACAGCTTTTACTGGGCTGAAGATTCAGGGAACCCGATACAGATTTCTGGAGCTCATTCTGTCCACAGATCCTTCTTCTTCAGTATCTTAATTTGCGAATTCCAGCCACTTCAGCATCCCCAAACACTAAACTCTGTTTTCTCTACCTAGTGAAGCTCTTACTCTCTGTTTGGGCTCCACTTCTCTGTGCCATGATTAGGAATGTGCCCCAGGAAGAAATCTGGGTTGAATGTGGAAATTATCCCAATTGTTTCACTTCCCTTAATGGTCATAAATCTGTGCAGTCTGGTGTCCAGTGCCTGGAAACAGTTTTTTTGTTTGTTTTCCCAGATATATTGTTGTTTACAGTTGAAGGCTAATGAACTTAATCTATCATTTTAGAAGCAGAGTACCTTGCTGGAAACTTTCTTCCCCCTCCCAAATTAATTCTGCATATTATATCTAGAATGATTTTCCTAAAGTACAACTCTGACAATGTAATTCTTGTACTTACAAAGCAATTCAGCCCTTGGGATGAAATCTGGCCACCTCAATATAGCTTATAAAATACTTTATTATCTGGTTTCTGCTTAAGTCTCCAGCCCTGTCTTTTATAAACTTCTCCCTGCACTCTCTGCATCACCCATATCATTGCTTTTAGTTCCTTGAATAGACAGTGCTCTCACATCTTAGCATTTAGATATGAAGTTCTCTTCACTGGGAATGAGCTCTTCCATGCTTTTCTTCATTTTCTAATTATATCTTACACATTCTTTGGATTCCTTTCTCCTTGAAGACTCTCTTAGCTCCAAATCTACTCCTATATGTCCTGACAACATCTGTACAATTCCTCTTTTTTTTTTTTTTTTTTTTTTTGCGGTACACAGGCCTCTAACTGTTCTTGTGGCCTCTCCCGTTGCGGAGCAAAGGCTCCGGACGTGCAGGCTCAGCGGCCATGGCTCACGGGCCCAGCCGCTCCACGGCATGTGGGATCTTCCCAGACCTGGACACGAACCCGTGTCCCCTGCATCGGCAGGTGGACTCTCAACCACTGAGCCACCAGGGAAGCCCCCAATTCCTCTTTTAAGCTATGTGAATGAAGGAACCAACTGTACTCCCAGAGTCTAGTATTTTGTCATTTGACACTAAATATGTATAGAATAAATGAATGTGTTTGGCAGACTTTTGGTGTCAATAGTAAGGACTATTATTTCGATAAATTCAAGATTTTTGGGAGGAAGGCTAAAAACAAGATGCTAATAGATACAGAATTCTGTTTTTCTTTTCCTTTAAAGAAACAATTATGAAACTGCATACACTTTCATTTTTTACATTAAAGTATAGTCTACAATGTTGTGTTAGTTTCAAGTGTACAGCAAAGTGATTCATGTATATATAAATCACAGCAATATTTTGTGTATATATATATATACTTTTTCAGATTCTTTTCCATAATAGTTATTATAAATATTGGATATAGTTCCTTGTGCTATACATTAGGTCCTTGTTATTTACCTATTTTATATATAGTAGTTTGTATCTACTAATCCCAAACTCCTAATTTATGCCCTCCCATTGCCCCCCAGCTAACCCTTTTGGTAACCATAAGTTTGTTTTCTATGTGGGTGAGTCTAAATCTGTTTTGCAAATAAGTTCATTTGTATCATTTTTTAGATCCCACATATAAGTGATATCATACAATATTTGTCTGATTTACTTCACTTAATATGACAATCTCTAGATCCATCAATGTTGCTGCAGATGGCATTATTTCATTCCTTTTTATGGCTGAGTAATATTCCATTGTGCTTGCGTGTGTGTGTGTGTGTGTGTGTGCGCGCGCGTGTATATATATACCACATCTTCTTTATCCATTCATCTGTCAATGGACACTTAGGTTGCTTCCATATCTTGGCTATTGTAAATAGTGTTGCATTGAACATTCGGGTACGTGAATCTTTTTGAATTAGAGTTTTCTCTGAATATATGCCCAAGAGTGTGGTTGATGGATAATATGGTAATTCCATTTTTAGTTTTTTTTAAGGAACCTTCATACTGTTCTCCATAGTGGCTACACTAATTTACATTCCTACTAAAAGTGTAGGAGGGTTCCTTTTTCTCCATACCCTCTCCAGCATTTCTTATTTGTAGACTTTTTATGATGGCCATTATGAGTGGTGTGAAGTGATACCTCATTGTAGTTTTGATTTGCATTTCTCTAATAATTAGTGATATTGCACATCTTTTCATGTGCCTGTTAGCCATCTGTATGTCTTCTTTGGAGAAATGTCTATTTAGATCTTCTGCCCATTTTTTGATTGGGTTGTTTGGTTTTTCAATATTAAGTTGTATGAGCTAGTTGTATATTTTGGAAATTAACTCCTTGTCCATAGCATCGTTTGCAAACATTTTCTCCCTTTCTGTAGGTTGCCTTTTTTTGTTATGGTTTCCTTTGTGTGCAAAAGCTTTTAAGTACAATTAGGTTCCATTTGTTTTTTGTTTGTTTGTTTGTTTTTGGTTTTTTTTGCGGTACATGGGCCTCTCACTGTTGTGGCCTCTCCCGTTGCAGAGCACAGGCTCCGGACTCGCAGGCCCAGCGGCCGTGGCTCACGGGCCCAGCCGCTCCATGGCATGTGGGATCTTCCCAGACCGGGGCACGAACCCGTGTCCCCTGCATCGGCAGGCGGACTTTCAACCACTGCGCCACGAGGGAAAGCCCTATTTTTGTTTTTATTTCCATTACTCTAGGAGACAGATCCAAAAAAATATTGCTGTGATTTATATCAAAGAGTGTCCTGCCTATGTTTTCCTCTAGGAGATTTAGGGTATCTGGTCTTACATTGAAGTCTTTAATCCATATTGAGTTTATTTTTGCATATGGTGTTAGAGAATGTTCTAATTTCGTTCTTTTACATATAGCTGTCCAGTTTTCCCAGCACCACTTATTAAAGAGCCTTTCTTTTCTCCATTGTATTTTTTTGCCCCCTTTGCATAGATTAATTGGCCATAAGTGTGCAGGTTTATTTCTGGGTTTTCTATCCTGCTCCATTGATCTATATGTCTGTTTCTGTGCCAGTACCAT